TTTTATCATTTAATTCCTTCCAAAGATAAACACTATGCAAATATCCACGAAACGGCAGTTGTAGTCTTGTCTGCTAGTGTTTTAAAACACTAATTTGAGCAACGTTATTTCGCAATTTCGATCTTTTGTAAACCTGGGGTGATGTATCAAGGTCTAAAGTAACCGTTTTATCAATTTTTGAAAAATCAAGAAAAAAGTGAAAATTTCCCTTCTCGCTACCTTAAACGAACGACTACAACCAAACATTTGCCGAGCGCCCCCAACGACACATGTTTAAATGGATATTAGAAACATGTAATTACACAATCTAGTCTACGAACCGCTCGTTTCATTGTATATAACATGACATAATGCAATTATCAGTCACCAGTTTACTGCATTACCTCAGCATCAGAATTGGACAAGCATACAGACCATGTTAGTGAATAAATTACCTCTAACGATAGAAAACTAGTATGTTACAAATTCCACCGTGTTAAAAAAAATTATAAAAATGGGGTTAATGAAAATGGTTTAGGTTTAAATTCAACGAAAAGTACGGGACTTGGTGGCATTACGACTAAAATTCTTCGAGATGGAGTTACCGCCCTATATAAACAAACAATGATGAATAAAACATGAAATAATATTATGGTAATAAATGATGTCAATTGGCGGGGGCCTCCAAAAGAATCATGAAATGACTATCGTGGGGAATTTTCAGAAAATTTTTGAGAAAGTTGTTTGGAAACAATTTGAGCAATATTTGAATCAAAATAAAATATTTAATTATTAATGGTCTCTGAAGAGAGATATATCCGAAATACTTAGTAAAGAACCAAAATCTTGCCATGAATGGCTAAATACACTAGTCATGGGTAAACCGAATCACTTCGGTTTGAACCGCGGCCCAAAACACAATTAGTTTTGAAGTCCAGTATATAATAATCATAAAATTCCAGAACGTATAAACGGTAAACTACATTTTATTTACAGACACGATTTTGTTAATACAGAAATGTAAAACTTTATGTTCAGTTGTAATTCAACCACACGCTCTGCGTGGTATAAGTCTATATCACAGCATTGAAAAAAATAAATTACAAACAAGCCAAAAAAAGAATGACTCAAAAGGCCATGAATTCATTAGTATCTATGCCCACAACACAAGACACAAGAGGTAATGCTAATTTTGGGGTTCCAACACTGCGATAAGGACTTTCCGTTTTCGACAATTGATTTTGAAAAGTGAAAATATGTTAAGAATATTTCATTCAAATGTATTCTATATGCATGCCAATGATAATTTTAATAATTACTGATTTCAGGGAATATTAACTAGAGGCAAAACATATAATTTAGTATATTTTTGTTATTTTATTTGTCTTTAATTATGACTGAAACACCTGAATGAAATTATAAAATATGCAGCGTGTTCAACAACTCATGTATGAAGAATAACTTTAATAATAAATATGATTTTATAAAAATATTGTTTGTCCACCATAAAAACGAAAGAATTTAACAATATCGAAAACGGTCTTTATCGTAGTGTTCACCGCAAATTAAAGGAGAAGAATGAAGGATTTACTTCTATAATACCATATCAAATTACTTATACCTTTACAAAAATGTAAAAAAAAAAAAAATGTATGTAATTGATTGTAAAATCAAGAGATCGTCACGGTTTCTATTATTATTATTATTATTATTATTATTATTATTATTATTATTATTATTATTATTATTATTAATTTCGGACAAATGGGTCCATGTAAAAAATAAATAAATAAGAAATATATATACTGCTTGAAACTAATCTTTATTTAATTTCACGCCGTATTCAAGATGGCTACCCTCATATAGTAAATATCAGTAAATTTAGTATTTATTTTATTATCACATATACGCCAGCTGACTGTGGTTCACATCGTCGATATTGCTTCTTCTTTCAATATTGAAATATTGCTTTTAAGTACTATTCTATTTTCTATAGACGAAAAAAATCACAACCAAACAGTTGTCTATCTACGTAATTTTGACGTCACAGAAGCTTTCGTCACTAGAGGCGCATTAAAAAGTTCCGGTCTTCTTATTTTCAATCACGGAACATCAGGGTATCGTGTAAACTTGCTTACAAGTATTATTGCTTTTTTGTGTTAAAAAATGTAAAAAAAGCAACAAAGATATTAAAAGGCGTCTTTTATAATAGTCAAAATGCCATTCCTGTATGCCAGTGATCTGTAAAACAGTCTCACTGAATCCTTTAATAATCATTTTTGCAGTTCACGGGAATCAAAACAAAAGTAAAGATTTGAATTTCGGCAATGGTTTTGTCTATTTTTTATTATTAATCAAGTTTCCCAGTTTTCTTAGTGTTTTTTTTTTTACTTAAACACCTTTATTTGTTAATATAACACTAATTTGTTATTGATACGACCCTAATTTGAAAATCGCAAAGTGTGTGTGAGTCTAGGTTTATTTGAAAATTGGAAGGAATCATGTCTTCCAAGTAAGGGTAGATCCTTGTTTCGCGAACCCGCCGGATGAACAGGAGCCGAAAATGAAATAAAAATAAAATTTTATTTCAGCGTAATTTCTCGCGCCCGCCGACTTGTAAGTGCAAAAAATTGCTAAAAAAATATTATTTTTGTCTTCATTTTTTTTACCGCCCGCCGCATGCTAAATCCAAGTTGCATTTTCTTGGAAGTATCATGATCAAAGTACCAAAGTCTCGCGCAGATGAGAAACAAGGCTATACATGGAATAACATTTTATTTCATTTCTTCTCTCCGATCAATGATCTCACTTACAATTCTTTGAGAATAACACAAATCTAATAGAAAAAAGAAATAATTTTATTTTTTTTCCGCCCTCCTCAAAAAAAATGCCTTATAAAAACCCGAGAAACAAGGAATAACAAAAGTCTGGCCTAATTTCAAAAAGTGTGTTTTTTTTTCATTTTTTGTAAATATGAATATTAATATGGTATCAATATCATTAGTCATAATGTCAGTATAGGTACAGTTCAGGGGAATACCCGGTGTTGACGAACATGTTGTAACAGGCGCTGAGAACAGGATGTGTCTTTGCTGGAGTAGGAGGCGCCCTTGGACTTTCTTTTGCATATTCATGAGTTCTTCGAAGGCGGAAGTAAAAGTTACTAAATAAAGTCGCCAGCGCAAGATGGCGAGAAGCTGGGGCGAAGTTTTACTCTGGCTTTTCTTGGGACTGTTGTTCCCAATTTGTGAATCAAGTCTGATCCGATTGCGTCCGAATGAAGAGTATATTTATCAGTATGAAGCTAAGACACAGCTAGACAATGTTGGAGTGTTCAAGACGAATGCAAAGGTAATTTTTTGTTTTCTCTCGATCAACTAGATGTTAACTGAGATGTGAAGAGAGTGCCGCGCTGCAGGAAGATGATGAAGTATTTTGCAAAATAAGTTTCAAGTTATTTAAAATATATGATTTCCTCTGTTCATACTCCTGTATTCGGAGCTACGTTCATTCCCATTTGCTCAGATCATGGCGTTTTTTTTTAGCGATTCGAAATGTGATCAACGGAGCATTTTACGACGTCATTAACGTCGACCTGTTGCCTTCAACACCTTGAACTGGAGGTTAGCTTTGTTTGGTCGCACCACAGTCCACTATCCAGAAATCCACTATCAGAAATCGGGTCCATGTCAAGTACTGCCAGTCCATCTCTGATAGAACATTCAAATTAGACAAAATATTTATTGGTTCCGCTGCCATTTGTTCATCACCAAAGTCAGTGTACGAAGTTTCTTATTTGCGAAAAACTTTGCATTGGAAATGACCGACCGTCGTATAAGTGAATGACTTTCATTTACTCAAAAACAGTCTTGTCCTTGATTAAAACTTAACAATTTATAAGATTTATATTTTAATGATATTAATTTTTTTTTAGGAAAACTTCATTTGTCTTTGGTAAGAGCACGGCTACTTTTTTTAGTAACTGAGGTACACAATTTGTACAGATGGTCGTAAATACTAACAGCCTTAATTGTTTGTCCGCTTTGTTTGCAAACATCTACACAGCTTCTACTGTGATGATGGACTTGTATACTAGTATCCTCTTTTTTTTTTCGTGTCTTTTAATAAAAAAAATATTTGATTGCGAAAAAATGGCAAATGAACACAAAAAGCTAAAGAATGTGTCCCTTGGAAGGCAAGCAACTGGTATTGAAGAAAAGACTGCATGTATACATGAAGTCTAGTGGACTGTGATCAGATGCATGACTAACATACCCAGGGCTGGAGTGGAACTGGGAGTATGACGTTGGCACTCACATTGGAAACGTATACCAAAATGGGTAACTTTGTTCTGAAAATTCTCTACGTCCACTTTATTGGGAAAAAAAATAACTAGACATAGTCAGATTTCTAAAAAAGTAAGTTTTTTTTCTAATTTTGGACACAAATTTATGAGTTTGGGTGACAGACCCCCATAATTGTTTTTGAGTACACCCCAGCAGGGGGATAACAAAAAGTAACCCACCAGTCATGATACCACCCGTACATGTGTATTCCATTTTTTCACCTTACAAGTGTCATCCAGGGTTCAATTTGAGATATAGCAAAATATCTCCAATAATGGTAAAAGCTTTCTATTCCTGACAAAATGGCTGCTATTTATTAAATTATAATCAACATTTCCTAGAAAAAAAGGCTGGAGGCCCCAAACGTTCTTTTGTAAACTGTTTTACATTGGCTGGAAATACAATATTGCAAAATTGATAAATAGTTTAATTAACACTTTTGACCGCCATTGTCAATTTTTAGCACCATCTACAAAATAATTTTGTAGTCTGCTCTCCCATGAATTTGTAGTAAAAATTGAGAAAACTTTTGTTAAAAAACTAAAAGCAATATGTGAAACTGTCTGCTTGATCCAAAATGATGCTAAATTATATAGAGAATTTCACAAAATGTGGAAATATTTGCACAGAATTTTAGGCGGGAAAATATCTGGCACTCAAAGCGTTAATACATCATTGCAATTGAAAATGTGAACCTTATAAATAGTACCAGCCATGGAAATCATGTCTAACATGGCTGTTTAAATTTATATTTGGAAATTAAGAATTCAATGGAAAGCAAAGAATACAAATACTATGTGTTTTTTACAAGGTAATTAGTGTCATTGCATTTTCTATGTCTTCTGTCTTATCCCTAACCTCTCCCTCTTTTATCAAATCATTTTTTTCTTTCATATAGTTTAAGGTTTTAGTCAATCATAGTCAATTTATACATTTTTTATTTAAATAAAATTGGACAAGTTTTCAATATGATGACGCTAAAGAATTATCTTGACTTATTAATGTACCTGCAATCACCGTGCTGTGATAAAAAAGCATTTTAGTCTAGTCACTGTCCAGCACTGCGTATCATATGTTTTAAACTTACACAGTCTCTCAGACAGTGTGTTGATTTCAAACCAAAACTGTTTACACCAGAGGGCATGTAGTTTTCTAGACAGGCTTCATTCATTGCCATGACAACCATCGACACAG